AACATTTACTTATTTTTCGCTTTCTAGATAAAACGTTGTACATCACACGTGCGTTTAAACATGAATAAAAAACTCGTGCGATTAGAACAACTCGGTCTACGACCTCGTCGTTCTAATCTTTCAAACTCGTTATTGTAATCATGTTCATAAACGCACTTGTAATGTAAATAACTATTATCTACAAGCGTGCGGTAACTAAAGTATATAACACGATTTTGTGTGCAATAAGTACCATATTACCGCACGCTCTACCCACATAGGTACGTACCTTCAATTACCTACCAGTGATAGATTACCTACCTATCACCTAAATTCTACTTGTCCACTGTCAAAGGTGACAGACGTAATTTTTTTTATAATTTTTTCAACTGGTTTCAGATATTTTGTTACCGCACGGTTGTAGATAAAATACTGTATATAATACGTATGGTAATTAGGCTATTGCCGCCCTTGAGGTTGCAAACCTCGCCTCACCGGCTCGGTTTGCAAATTTCTCTCGCGTGCGATAATAACCTAGTTACCACGCTTATTATATAATATACTATTATTACAAACGGAGCAATAACTAATATAATTAATACTATTTCCCAAGTCATAGATAAAATATACTTATTAATACTCCTGTAGCTGCCACTACCCGAAAAAGTCGGTATGGACAAAAGAGGCAAAGTACCTATACTATTTTATTTTTTATCACTGTCACTAACACTAACTCCTAAACTGATGTCAACGAAAATGTTTTTGCATGTAAACCAAACAGAAAAGATCAATAATTAATACTGTAAGACGTTTCGGAAGAAACATGTTAAACGACCCTTCAAATAAAATATCCTTAAATTTAATATTTGATTTCTAAACTAACGAAATCTTATCGGTGATGAAATGGGTGTTGGAAATGTAAACTACCTCTAAATTGGCTCGAGCCAAGCTCAAATATAGGGAGCTCAAATTCTTATTAAATTATTAATTCTCGATTCGCCAGGGCTTGAAGTTTAATGGTCGCTAGCAGGCCATGGTGAAAGGCGAGTATCATCGGATATTAAGTTTCCTAGGAACCAGAATTATTCGATCTAAGAATCGAAAAAAATACTGCTTGGTTTCAGTGAGGACTCAAACATAACTTTCTTTCTGCAAGATTCCCTTGCAAATGATGTATTTTTAAAATAAAATCCGCTCGCAGCATTCGTAATCGATACGCACCATTGTTTTTATGCTTTTGATACCCATCACATTTTGATTAAGTTCTTTATTAGATATGTCCTAAAAGTAGAATGAGACTAATATGCGTTTCACGTGCTCCACAATAATTATTTGATAGCATTACCTTCTTCGACTAAGACTAAAAGCTATTGGGATTTCAAGATAAGCAATACTCTATCTGGCGGCAAATTATGGAACTAGTTTGTAGTACATTGTCGTTTGTTATTGTATTGTTTACCATTGTGTTTTTGTGAATATTTTTGAAGTGTTTTTGAATTTTTAAAGCGTGTTGGGGAATAAATAAGTGTAAATTATATCAGATACATTCAATCATGACCTCAAATCACTACTGTTGTGTTCCTCAGTGCAAGTTTTGGGCCAAAAAAGATGCTAACAAAGGGTTGAGTTTCCACATATTTCCCCTTGAAACAGGCCTATGGGTTTATTTGGAAATGAAGATGGGAAAATAGTTAGAATGGAGAAGAAAAGCCTGGATTTTAAAACTTCGTATTAGCAAACCAGTCATCAAATTCATGAAAGTGTATTTCTCTGCATTTCAAGCAAGAAGTTTGTGTTAAGGTAAACAAACATAATAGATATTTTTGTGTCCTAGCTTGCTTTTAGGACTGCTCCTAGGCATTGATTAAGAACCTATTATCTATTTTTGAAATGTTTTGTTTGAAAATTTTGACTGTTTTTATTATTTACAGGTGGGAGTACAGGTAAAGGTCGGATATTGAAAAAAACAGCTGAACCATCCCAGAATTTGCCCTATTCTACAGTGATCCATAAACCCAGCCAAAAAACAGATTCCATGTGTGCTGAAAGACCTGCCAAAAGAAAAAGAAATCAAGATTCTAGTGAGAGCGGTTCAAGTAATGAATGTAGTGATACTTGTATTCAATTATTAAACTCTTTTGAGACAAACATACAAATGGACGAGCAAACAGCAGAAAGTGTCAAGTTTTTATTGAATTCTAGTTACCAGTATTATAGGCAGGTTTGTGGTCAAGTTATTTGACTTTGTTAATTCAATATTTACCTATTTATAAATAAAAATAAAGAGTTATTTATGCAATATTTATTTATTTATTGCACATACAAGTTATTCAACTACAGACATTATAAGGGACATCTGCCTTGACCCTTTTGGCAATGTCCTATAGTGGAAAATTTTAAGAAAAAGATCCGTTTAGGCTGTTGTATGGATATGACCATTTCGGGTCAGGTAAGCGCAATAGATTATATTGAATTTTGGCCTGCATCAGGAGCCATACAGCCCATAAACACAAGACAAACATTCAAGCTAATGTAAATCATATGCAAATTAAGTTAAAAATAAAAGTGAGGTTATGAATCAATGTACTAGAAAGTAGTTGAGCTATTCGCCACCGCGGTGCTACAATCTTAATTTGAAATCCCAATCAGCAACTTGATAAAGTCGCACTAAAGGAAAGAAAATGTTGCATCAGATAGAAAACAGTTTAGTTAGCCTATTATAATGTACTTATTTTGGCAATTGCCCAATTATACTGCATACGGCTAGTCAGCATCAGTCCGGAGGCCATGAGTCTATGGGTTCCTTGTATACATCTTACCTTTGGGCGCCACCAAGTTAATTGTGACTTAACTATGAAGATAACTTAATGATGTTATAAACAAAACCTGTGCAATTGGAGAGCTTATCAATAAAACAACTCATTAGGTACAATAATGTATCTGGCTTCTTTATTAAAAATAATAACAAAATATAGGGATAGCCAGGAGGTTATTAAAAATGTGTTTAGAATAATGCTTGTACCAATTTATAAATATTTGATTATAAAAAAAATAAGAATGTAAATAATGTATAAAAATATTGATTTTTAAATAAACAGTTTTAACTGTGTGTTTACACTTGTGAAAGATTAGAACCACAATATCAGTTACACTCTACCAGGAGGCAAATTCAACACCAGAAAGGTGAAAATTATTGTTAGGGCAACCACAGGGTAAAATTCTAGAATTTTATTTAAGGGGCACTTACCGAACGTAAATCAGTATCAAGTGATTTATATAAGATTTGCCTAAATAGTAAAAAAGCAACTTACATGTGTACAAGTGTTGATTATCTTCAAAGGTGTGCGCAAATCCAGAAGTTTTGAAGGGATATTATCTACAGGTTCGGTCTCACTGTAGATAGACTATGGTATGGTAAGTGAGTCATAGTCATGAGTCCTATCCACGTGGTATCTGTTTTACGTAGAACTCAATGTGGTTCTAGCAGAGCGGTACCAAGAGGGTTGCTGAAGGGAGGCTACCAAAGCCAACTGAGAGCAATCTAGATCTAGTCTAGAATCTCTTTCTAGGAGCTGTCCAACTATAGCCTAAGACTGTCTAGCTACAGCCTAGCACCAGGACTAGGAGTAGGATAGTCCAACTATAGCCTGAGACTAGGATTGTCCAACGATAGCCTAATAGTAGGATTGTCCAACTATAGCCTAGGACCCTATAACGATGTTCGTATAAAAAAACAAATCGAGCCCTAAATATTAGAAATAATCTTACCTCAAATTGAGGGATACTCTAGACCAAAGGTGAAGTTTTCAACTTCCAAATGCTGCTCGGAACAGTCCTATAAAAAAAAATGGAACACATGTTGTAGGTTAATATGTCCTGAAGAAAATCTCAAACTTACCGAAACAGAATCCAAAAATGACCAAGGGACGACTCTAGACAATTATCAGCAAGAAATTAGTCTAAAACTTGAGCTCCCTGGCACAAAATTCCAAAAAGTCTCGCCCCAAAAATAATTAGGGCCGAGGCCCGAGACCGGACGACTACTCAGCGTGAGGTCGCAGATCAAAAGGGCAGATTCTTCATTTAGAATTTAGATTTCGGAAGAAGACTTTCATCTGTCAAACCTCTAATTTTGACATTGAAGAAAATTATAAAAAAGGACGTGTTCAGTTTCACCCCAAAAGTACGAACTGAGAATCGGTTGTGTAAAAAATGACTGGTGAATGTTGAAAAGCGCCTATAGAACATATATCAAAAGGTAGCACAGGTCTAAAGAAAACGCCTAGACAAAACAGCTGTTCAATGACATGATGGAAATGAAAAGTCAAAGAGTAAACAACAACTTATCATAACCTCAGATTATTGATTGGATTTGCAAACAGAGATGATGATGGTACTAACTCCTTTTCCTAAAATTCTAATCAATAACAGCGGGCCCTGCCGTACTGAATCAAACCTTCCTAGATCAAATAACCAAACTTGCAAACCTGAACCAAAAAAACTTCTAGTAGAAGGCAATACTCAAGGTAACAAAATCTGGGCACAGAAAAGATAGTTGTTTCTTCATTTATTCCTTTATAGTTCTATACGGAATCATATCTACCAAAGCAAAACAAGGTAGCTTATTAGCCAAGAAATTGAAAACGTTACACTATTCCTAAACTCACAAATATTTTCGTTTCCAAATTCAATTTTGTTGTTGTGATTTGTAAACTTATATGCACCTTTTTACTTATAAAACAATTTGAAATATGAAAAAGTGATATGCTTGACTGCATGTTTATGGTTGCTTGTCTGTTCTTCAATTTTTCTTCAACTGCTACTTTATTTAGCATCAACCAAAGGCGTATTATAGGATTTATTTTTGAGATACCATATCAGCTCTTAGATATTGTTGAGTTGCATCAATGAAGTAGAAAAAATTTAATTCACTTAGTGCTAAAATGTTTTAAAAACACAGAAGTTCACACACTCTTAACCTAAAGTTTTCTTTATTTTACTTATAATTTGAACTTTTCTAGATTCGGACTATCAGTTGGGTTCTGCAGCACAAACCCCAGGTCTCAACAATTCTGTGATCTCGGTTTCTGGAAATCCATCAAACGATTTTGGCAGATCAACTTCGCCAATTATTTCACCAACCCAATTGCAAAATATGACTCCGCTGGCTGAGGCCTATTTGGCACGAAGTAAAAATTTCGCATCACCAAACGTAAGTTATTAAATCACAGTTTTCGTAGTAATTTTAAATTTTATGTTTACATAAATGGATTTCATTGATTTACTCGAACTGCACAGGAAGCTTATTACTGGAGCGCATTCATGTACCACCAGCAAAGGAATTTACTTAGTTCAATATATCATTAAGATGGGAGAATCTAAGATTCCTTGAAATAGAAATTGTTCGATATAAAGCCTTCATTCCTGAAACGGAGAACATGTCAAACACTAAACACGCTCCTAATTTTTGATGCTAATTAGACATCAAAGTTACAGACATATAGGTATTATCCCAATGAAGGTATATCCCGATGTAATGTAATAATACATGTAGTTCAGAAATTAACTCAAGTACTTCTGAAAGAAACTATGTAAAATATGTGATAAATTGAATTAAAGACCAGCAGTGAGAAAATTGATTATAAACATTAATCCTGGAGAATTTTTTTTTCTCGTCTCGAAGGATAATGCGAATAATAAAAATTATCAATCACATCCCCGTGTATTATTCTAGAGTTTTGGCTGATTTAAATGATAATAATCTCTCTGCCAAAAGAGAACGACTGGCATCAGCAGGGACAGGCGTGACAAAATTGAAAAATTTTCATTATGCCGCATCGTTGTGTACAAATTAAAATGCTACGAAGCAAAATACACCTGGGTTTAAAGGGATTTATTTCTTGTTTAAACACGCTTTAGGCAAGGCATTACTACGGACCGAATCCCAGGACATGTTATTAAAATTCCCCATTTTCAATCAGGGGCCGCGCTAAGTAGCTGCTTTTTGAAATTTCAAAGTAACATATTGATAGAGGTGTGTTATAGGCTGATTGCATCATTCAGTTTTCCACATTTTCTCCTAATTCAACCTCTATTTGCTCGGAAAACACGGTTTAGGAGGCAATGGGCGTATTTTTATATTTGATATAAACAGTTATTTGGGCACCAGACCCAAAAGAGATAGGAAGAAAAGAAATGAGACCAATAGTTTAATAGTTATTACAAATCGTCTATATTCATTTTATCCCATTTTGACGTTTAAAAATGACATTATTGAACGCATAACAATAAAGGTAAGTAGATGTTTATCACCTCAGTGATTTAAAATATTTTTAACTCACTCTCGGCATTTTTCCTTCTACTTTATCTATTAAATTTCTACAAAACCATTTTGACTTTTAAAAATGACATCATTGAACGCATAACAATAAAGGTAAGTAGACGTTTATCACCTCAGTGATTTAAAAAAAATTAACTCACTCTCGGCATTTTAAGTCAGTCTGCCCAACTAAAAATCTGACACCTCAGTGATTTAAAATATTTTTAACTCACTCTCGGCATTTTTCCTTTTACTTTATTTTTTTGAATTTCCACAAAATGGGATAAAATTTTGTATGCATCACGTGAGTTAAAATGTTTATTCATTCGAAGAAAGTTTAACCCACGAGCCCTAGCCACTTGGTGTATAAATAACTATTAAAAGAGACATTATATTTTCGATTCAGAAACTTTTATTTTGTATGTTCGAAGGGTTTCGTACCAATGGGTGTTGGTTTGAATATGATTTTGTATGGTTTTCGTCCATACTTGGTTTTATTGCATAGGTATCTCGCATACTTTGACCATAATTCTGTACGTCTTCCTCTATACTGGGCCAATAAAATCTTTTCTTCAAGCCTACAACATCGTCTTTTTTCGAACAAGATGTCATTGGTTTTGTCAATTTGGCAAAATTCTTTATGAATTTTCGGTAATAACCTACTAATCATAAAAATGATTTTACCTACGAGCGTGCGGTAAAGTGCACTTTACCGCACGTACTTGCAAATGGAAAGTAGCACTTTAACGCACACTATGCGGTAAAGTTAACTTTACAGCATAGTGTGCGGTAAAGTTAAATTTACAGCATAGTATGCGGTGAAGTGGACTTCAAAGTGTGCGGTAAAGTGCACTTTACCGCATAGTGTGCGGTAAAGTAGAATTTGATATTTATAATCAAAAATCCTTTATTCTTCCAGAAAATGGATTTTTGATAATTTCTAAATCTAATCTTATATCATTAATTAATCTGAGTCAATAATTAATTTTATCAATGCACTTTTTTGGAGATGTAGATGCTCATAGGTAAAATTTTGTACCTAACACATGCGGAAAGTGCCTTTACCGCCCTTAACGGCTTGACCGAACTCCGCTTCGCGTCGTTCGGTCAACTGTCGTTGCGTGCGGTAAAGTATCACTTTCCGCATTTGTTAGGTAAATAACTATTATTTGTCACTCATTTGTAAAACGTCATTTATCAAGTCAAAACATAAATAACGAAAATTGATTTTTACCAGTTACTGGCTCTACTAACTTGTAAAATTGACAGCTAAACTGTAATAACTTTTTACAAGTCAGTAGGGTCAGAGAATTATTTATTAAAATTGTATTACCTATATGTATTAATTTTTTATTTATTGTTCAAGATTGTTTACAAATGAGTAACAAATAAATTATTGTACATCATTTTTTTTTTTTTTTTTTTTTTTACGGATATGCGCACTCGCAAGGAAATGTCCTATCACGCTCGAGAAGCGGCAAGTTTACGCCAGGTATCAGTTTTTACTGGCTCTTGAAGGTGACAAGCTCGCCTGACGACTCGTTAGTCATTTCCTTCAATCACCAGTAAAAACTGTTTTACCTGGCTAATAATGTAAAATACGATTATTTCTTTCACCGTCTTTGGTATTGGGAATTTTTTAATTGCCGTGCCACGCTTTTTCGCTGATTAAAAAGTTTATTAAAAAAAAAATAAGAAGAAAAAAAAAATTAAAAAAAAATAAAAGTCGAAAATAGAAAAAAATTAAAAAAATAAAATAAAATAAAAAATAAATATAAATAAAAAAAAATCAAAATAAATGAATGGAGATTTTGAAAACTGGAAAAATGAGTGCTGCCGTTTGGCAGGGTTTTGACAGGCGTTAAAACGGTTGACATTTTTCGACTCAACTTGGTCGACTTAGTAGAAATAGATTTTTTGTTCATCAAAATCTGCCATATTTACTCTGTTTTTGGATATAAGATTCCAATATTTGACAGCTAACCACGCCTCACCTGTCATATATACAGGGTTGTGCCCATGGTAAAAAATGTTGCTTACGGCATCCCTAATAACATATTTAAATTTCATCCAAATATCACGGGTAACCAATTTCCAGTAGTAATATAACTAGTGCATAAAATATTTCCGGAAATTTTTGAAAATTTTGTCTGAAGTTAATTTTTTAACAAAATCATGAGTGCATAAAAAAAACGTGTAAGCAACTTACCACATGGAGTTGTAAAAATCCGAATTAATCGGCGAAAATTATAACACTACGAAAACGTAAGGCAAAAAGGCAACTAAATATGTTATAACTTCAATTGAGAATATAAGGTCAAAATCCCACAAGGGCGAAGACAATCTTCAAAGAGACCTTATTTCTTCAACGTCCAGATGTGAAAAGAAATGTGCTACACGTAAGATTAATCGGCTAACCTAAAGGGAGGAATTTAGACTCAGAGATGATTCAGAATAACGACAAACATCAAAAATTAATCGATAGAATTCTTACCAAAAATTGCACACAACAATATAAACCGAGAAAAATAACAACGGCTGACGAATAATGATATTAACAACAAATAATTATCCCATAAAACAATAATAACTTGAAGAATCCAAAATGGAGTAAGTGATCCGTTTACAAAATTCGAGGGCTTAAAGAAGAATCGACGATACTAAAAACATCACTAATCGACCACCGGTTGACAGAACATATTGACAATCAAAAGTCAAAAAACCGAAAGCAAGGATAATGCATAAAATCTCAAAAGGCTATCGAACCAATGATTGACCCGAGGTTCACTTGAACTTGCACCGATATCAATAGCGCTCAATAACCGAACAGAGTAAGTACGAACGGAGTAGTTCTGTACATACACTTGAAAACGGGTCATTATGATTTCGGAACCTAACCCCACGAAATATTTTTGACACATGAATTAATTATTTTTGTTATGAAAACAGATGGTTGAATTTAAAATTGGAATCAAAATATTGATTTGTTTTGATTTTGAAATTGAACTAAAATATGGATTAACAGGAACTAGTAACAAATGAAAATAGAATTTGACTATTGAAAATTAGGAAATTTACAGGATTGTACAACCGTTGAGATTGTTGTTGAAATTTTATAGAGTGAAAATGTTGATAAATTTAAGGAAATTTTGGATAGAAAATTGAAAGTAGGTAAGAATTATTTATGCAATTTTAGCCTGTTACAGCCGTTATTTTTTTTTTTTTGGATTTGGTTTGATTCTATTTGGCGTTATTACGTGTCCTAAAAACTCGACTGTCTTGTGTAAAAATTTTGATTTGTCTGATTTTTAAACTTCTCAAGTCTCTCAAATACTTTCTTTAAATTTTCCACGTGTTCATGAAGTAGAGTGGAAAAAAAAAATTATAACATCCATGTATACTAGACATATTCTATTCTGTAATCCTAGTAATACATTATCCATCACTCTTTGGAAGGTTGCTTGTGCGTTCTTTAATCCAAAGGGCATTCTGTTAAATTCATAATGACCATTTTCAACATTAAATGCTGTCTTGGGTATCGAATTTTCATGCATCTCGACTTGATGAAAGCCAGAGGCTAAATCGAGTGTCGTAAAATAATTACTACGACCAAGTCGGTCTAATATATCAGCGATATTAGGTAGTGGATATCTATGATCAATAGTTTTTTCGTTTATCTTTCGATAATCAACGACCATTCTCCGCTTTTTTATGCATGCGGCATCTTCTTTCTTAGGTACTATCCACACAGGGGATGACCATGGACTACAGTACGATTCGATTTTCACAATTCAAAATCACTCAACACTCATTAAAACGATTTTAAAAAACAACAAAAGTACTATCTACGCTCTAGGGCGCGTTTTTTTTTATGGATATATCCACCAGTATGA